CCATCAATCTTATGGCTTCCTTTATTCGTCCAACAGTTCTTGCGGGTATGGTTGATTTCAATCTCGGTTTCAGCGACTTCAACTCTTCTTCGTTGATTCCCGAAGCAAAATCAAGTATCATGGCCCTATGGGGGAAAAAAAATATTAAATCAGCTCGGCAATCATTGGCGAGAAAAAAAAATCTTTTTGCTCTAAAGATAAACGATTAAAAAAAAGAGAATTACATACCTATAGGGTGAAATTATCTTTTCACCGAGTCCTTCCGTGCTCCCTCGAAAGTCCAAAACTTGGAGTTCCGAACGCCTTATGAGTCCCAGAAGCTCGATAAGTATTTCCAATCTCGATGAATAAAGTAATGCTCTATTCTCTAGTTTATTCATTAACTCAAGGCCTCGGGTTATTTTTTCCAAATCGCCAAGTCTGAGACCGATGCTCTCATCCATGCATAAGTACTTCAGAGCCACAACATCTCGATTCTCGAGGTACCTATCGACGTTCACCAACATCCCGCGATACGATAATTCGTCTTGCCCGGCCATTGCTTAGTTTTAACGGATGGACAGGTTCAGCCGCTTACTTATAAACCAACTATAAGGATGACGTCATGGGTACTTGGAACCTTGACGTCATCCGTACGCCCTTATTTAAAAGCATCGATGCGCCGGTAACGATGACGTCATGGGTACTTAGAAAACGTCAGCTGACTAATCCCTATATATACTCGTGAATCATCACGAAACGATACATTCGGAATCAGCGAACCTCGACGCCATGACAGAGAAGACGAAAAGAAGAATCGTAGCCAGAATGGTTAAGATTTTCACCGAAGATAACATCTTGTTGGAAAACCTGCTGGCCGCAAATCGAGGTCGCATCCTGACTGTGACATTCTGTAACACGAAACAGATCTCTCTCGAGGTGGCGTTCTCCGCTACAGAGAACGGAGGCGGGAGACACTACGAATGCTTTGCCTGGACCAAGGTGGCCGGAGTGAGGTGTGTGGGCAGGCAAGGAACCATCGAAGACACGCACACGCTTCTGAATATGTACGGCGTGTCGAATGCCTCTTTGGAATTGGAGGAATACGCCGTCAGACTCGGCACAATAGGAGACGACATGCCGTCCATCAACAGGGACGCCGACAGGATCGTCACGATGGCAATTGCCGTGAAGGACGAGGAGGATCTGCTGGAGCCGTTTAGAAAAAAGCAGGTGCTTTGGTAATTCAACGAAACTTTGAAATTGTCCGTCACGTTCGTCAGAAGTGAAAGGGACGTGCGTCTGTACGTCCGTTGCTACTGCGGCTTCGTTCGAGAGAACGGACAACTGTTTGCTGCGGAAACTCTACTGCTGAAGGCAATGAACGAGTGGTTGACGACAGAAGCAAAATTC